ATAATAGTGTTAATGAGAAGTTCACTGTTGTAATTGTTCATAAATTATTTTTTTTTTCAGAGAACATTTGTAATTTTGAGAAATAAACAATCAAACATATCAGATCATAATGTTTCAATATCATCACAAAAACACATCTGGATGTTTGTCGATGTAACGTTAAGAGTTTTAGACTGGTTGTGAACAGGAAACAAGGCCTTATGTTGCAGTAATTTACTTTATAAAATCTGAAAGCCTATATTTTTTATATAAATGTTTGAATTACTTTATATTTTATACTTTACTTTTAATATCTTTACATTTTAATAGTTTGTTACAGAGCAGTTGTTCTTTAAATCCACCAGAAATAAAAGCTTTTCAACATATTTGAGGTAAGGTTAGTGTTACTAAATAAAGATGTTAAAACAAACAGCTGGTTTGTTACAGTAATGTGAGGGGAAACATTTATAATGATTATAATGTTATATTAAATTTTAGGATGCATTAGTCTAACTGTTACAGATGCTTATTTATCTCTGCTCTTCTTCACACAAACTACAATTTTTAAAATAATTTCTCAAGTAAAGTATAGATAACCAAAATTTATACTTAAGAAAAGTAACAACGTTTTTGTACTTAGCTACTTTACAACTTTGATTAAGCAAACCGCTATAATTAAGAATTAATTTAATTAGAAACAACTTTAAAGAATAAATAAAATGAGTTGTAGTTTCTCGTCCTCCCGCCGGGTGTCGCTGCTGCGTCGCGCCTGCGCACTGCTGAAATACCCGGATGTTGTTGCAGCTAGCTCTTTTAGCTCCTGCGACGCCGCTTCGTCGTGCCGCAGCGGAGACACTCGACCTTTCCGGCTCGCCTGGCTCGTTTCAGCTGCTTTAATGTCGGCCGCCGGATGCTGGTAGTTTATCATGACACACGTTATTTGAAAGGTTCGTTATTTTCAGGTGTACTCTGCGTTTTTTTCCGACCGGACCGGACCGGACCGGGTTAACAATACGAGCTAAACAGCTGAATCAGTTGGCGGTGAGTTATTTGTTCTAGCAGCAGAGATGGAGGACAAATCTTTCACTAAAGAGTTGGACCAGTGGATCGAGCAGCTGAATGAGTGCAAGCAGCTAACAGAGAACCAGGTCCGGACTCTGTGTGAGAAGGTAAGAGCTTCTTTCTGCTCACTTCACTCAGGCCTGCCTCGCCTCAGCGGCTCCGGCTAATTCCTGGAAAACATGTAACCGGGTTGTGTTTCCTGAAGTTATTAATCAGTCATCCGTATATTATCTGATTATCAGCACGCAGATCAAAAATTAGTGACTGTTTTTGTTTATTTTACACTCAGTAAAAGTTTAGTTTGTGGGAATGGTCATCAGCGGTACTTCTGCACTGACAGGCCCAGGATTCAGACCGTTTCAAACCAGTGAATAGACGCATCCCCTGTCGCCACTATCTTTTATAAACCCTCTATTTTTGTTTTGAATATAACAGTTTGTGAATATTATATCAATTAATGTGCCAGTTTGAGTGATTTTATGTGTTTATTGGTCCTGTATATGTGCAGTAGTTTGCACCGCACCCTTTATTGATCAATCGTTTCATTGCACAGACTTGCCCAGTTATTAGACGGTGCCGCAGGTTTACTGACACCTGCATGAGAGGTTTTTTCTTTTAAACATCATATCTGACGTCAGCAGCGTTTTGTGTTTATTAAAACTGTCTGCAGGAAAACAACTGAACTCAGGAAGTTCTGTGGATTGTCCTAAAAT